GTTAACTAAACCTATTCATCCCTTTTTAACTAACTTCGGGTAATTTGGATATATTTGAGTACTTTCGGGGAGTTTGAGTAGTATGTATACCGGGTTTTTCGGTTGATTCGGATACTTTCTAATACTTTTGGATATCTTTGTGTTCTGATTCATCCTGCAATGTTGTCTGAAACTGTTTTTGTTAACGTTTTACAGTTCATACCTGATGCAATCTCGAAACTCAAGAAGCTAGAAGCGCTCGATGTATCTTCGAATTCGCTTGAATCTCTTCCTGACTCTGTAGGAATGTTGGTTAACCTTAGGATCCTTAACGTGAGCGCGAACAATCTAACCGCACTTCCTGAAAGCATCGGGCATTGCAGGTTTTGGTTCTGTTCTGTTCTTGTAAATGTTTGAAAATTATTGTTATATACTTGAGGTTTCAAAGATTTTGTTTGCTGATTTGAATCTAGGTCACTGGTTGAGTTAGATGCAAGTTACAACAACTTGAGTACGTTACCTACCAACATCGGATACGGATTGCAGAACCTCGAGAGATTGTCGATCCACCTGAACAAAATCCGTTACTTTCCTGCTTCGATAAGCGAAATGAGGTCTCTAAAGTATCTTGATGCACACATGAACGAGATCCACGGCATTCCGAATTCTATCGGGAGATTAACGAAACTCGAGGTTTTAAACTTGAGCAGCAATTTCAACGACTTGATTGGTGTACCGGACACAATCACTGATCTAACTAACTTGAGAGAGCTTGATCTAAGCAACAACCAAATCCAAGCGATACCCGATTCGTTTTACAGGCTGAAGAAGCTGGAGAAACTGAACTTGGATCAGAACCCGCTCGAGATCCCGTCTCAAGAAGTGGCTAACCAAGGAGCTGAAGTTGTTAGAGAGTTCATGAGGAAGAGATGGGCTAAGATTATGGCGGAGGAAGAACAGAGGATCGGCGTTGAGGCGGAGCGGTATGGAGATGAAACAGGGTGGGTCTCATGGGGAACCTCCATGGTTACTAATCTTGTTTCTGGTGTGACTCAAACCATTGGTTTTGGAGGAGATGGTGGAGTCAAGAAACCTGGAGAATCCCAATTTTATCACCAAATCTGAGTTCTGCTCGAGTTTTGTTTTTTAAGTTTTATATATTAATCGAAAACAAATTATATAAATTTTCTTTATTGTTGGATCAGACACTGTAATTTGAAAAATGAAAGAACACTTGACTTGAGCAACAAGAAACCATACAATTTTTCTTAATTCCGTTGGCTTAAACTCCTACTGATAGACAACAACTTACAAAGCATCCTCTTAGGTTGTCTCGGGATCGCACAAAGCGCCATAAACCTTGAAGGCGTGCTCTGAAACCGCGCAATTGGTTTGCA